CCCACCCCGCGACCCACCCTCAGGGGAGGAAAAACCACCCGGTCCCGACAATTGACTTTTACTAAAGCGGCCCTGGGCGTTGACTAAACAGCCCTGCCCTGTTCGATTCATTCCTTGTGTGCGTTTACTAAACGGTTTCGCTTGCCGGGGTGATTCTTATGGGGTGGATTTTCTGCCCCCTGCACCCGCGACCCAACAGCGACCCACCCTCGACTTACCCGCGACCCACCCGCGACCCACCCCGCGACCCACCCACGACCCACCCCGCGACCCACCCACATTGGTTGAACGAAAAAATCCGCGCCTGCGGCGGGTTCGTTGTATAATTGTCTCCAGAGTCTCGCAAATTGCCGACGTCCCCACCGCCCCCTCGCTCTTATCCGCATCTGCGGGGTGCTACGTATAATAACAAGAGCCCCCCCCCCTCCGCACCGTCCCACACCTCTGGAACACTTGGGGTGCACTCCCGGTACCGCGCCTTCGGGCCTCCCAGGGAGGTCCAGGACGCCCCCAAAGAGCCCCCAGAACACAAGAAATCAGCCCACGGCGTTGTCAAGCAGCCCCAAAATGCCTTCCGACGGCTGTGAGGGCTCCCAGGACCGCCGAAGAGTTGACCCGAAGGCTTCCGAGAGGCCCCAAGAGACCTCCGAGAGGCGTCCCGAGAGGGCCCGAAGAGCCCAAGATCGTTGATTCTCCTTGGTTTTTGTTCCGAGTGTTTGGCCTTCTCGCGTTTTCGAGCTTCCAACGCTCCAACACAACCGAAGTGGCCCTCAAGACCGCCCCAAGACGGACGAAGAGGTCCCCAAGAGAGCCGAAGACGGCTCCAGAGAGTCTCTCAAGACTCCCCAGAAGGCGTCCAAGACGGCCGCCCGACTGAGAAACAAGAGCGGAGTTCCAGCGATTCCATGTTTTAAAATTTCATCCCGACTCCCATCAAGACTCCGGGGCCACATTTCACATGTTCCAGGGAATGTTGTTCAACTCTCTGTCGTTGCTTTGGAAATCATTTGGGTCGTCCTCGTGTCTTAGTTGGCCGCCCTGGAAAAGGCCAGTCAAACATCGAGATCCCGTGCGTTCACCTATCCAGCCTAGCTAGAACTTCAGCGCGCGCGCCAGGAGGGAGCAAACCGAGAGGATTTTCCCAAGCCGTTCAGGCGCTTTGCCCTCAGATGGCTGCAAGGTTTTCCAAAAGACCCTCGAGGCGCCAACCACATGCCTTCAGAGACTCTCGGGAGGCCCCAGGAGGCACTAAGAGCCTTCCAAGCGGCCCCGACAGACCCCCAACACGCCACCAGCATGCATCCAGGAGACCTTCCACCCACAGCCCAGGCTTGGCAATTTGAAACAAGGGAATTCCCACAATTCCTTCTTCTCTTTTGTTTTCAAATTCGCACCGCCCCCCCCCCCCAGTCTACTCTCGCAATCCCCTGGGAGCCCTGGTGGGCTCCAAATCATCGAGAACTTTGGGAAACTGACGAGTTCTGCGTTGCCGTATTCCCCCCTTCTGTACGCCTCCGAGGCTTCGGCAGGGCAGGGCCTCCAAGACAGCCCCTAGATGCAAGGAACGTCAACACTCGAGATGCTATGAGATATCCGATCCAGCTAAGCCAGAACCTGGGCGCGCGCGAGGAACCTCCTCGCCCTGCTTCCTCAGATGGCCCCAATCTTCTCACAAAGGCTCTCGAGGCGCCCCCCCAGGTGCTTTCAGATACTCCCGGGAGGCTCCCAGGAGGCACCAAGAGCCCCCTAACAGGCCCCGAGAAATCCCCCCAGGCGCCGCTAAGAAGGCCCCGAGAGGGATCCCAACAGACCATGGCAAGCACCCAGTAGACTTCTGACCCACAGCCCAGGCACAGCAATTGTAAAAAAGGGAATTCCCAGAATCCCTTTGTTGTTTCAAGTTCGCCCTCCCTGCGCACTCTTGCACAACGGACAGAAATTAAGGCCCCCGTCACCACCCAAGAAAGATCCCAGGAAGCCTTTGAGGGCCCCAGGGAAATGACTGTTTTGTTCGTTTCCGCATGTTCCCTTCTATATAGTGGGGGCTCGCATCAAGAAACCATCCTGGGCATCCTGGGTTTCTTCGCTCCTCGCGCTGCGCGGTGACTTCCAGCAGCCGCTGAAGGAGCTGCTGCGGTCAGGGTACTCTGGGTTTCCCCTCAGGTGCACCTCGCGCACGGGTTCTCAGGGTTGGGTTTCTTGCGAGGGTTTCTTGCGGCCGCGCCCGCATTGTACGCTTCCGAGGCTTGCGCAGGGCCTCCAAGAGAGTCCCTATGTAGATACCAGGGGCGTCAAACATGAGATGCTACTCGTTCGCCTACCCAGCCCAGCTAGAACTTGAGCACGCGCGAAGCGCGCGCGATACTTCGAGCATCTACATACACATCTAGCTGTTTTATATATGTATACATGTAGATATGCATATACAATATATATACATATATATACATATGTGTGTATGTGTGTGTCTGCATCTATAGAGAGAGAAAGGGAGAGAGAGAGAGAGAGAGAGTAAGAACAAGAGAGAGTCATTCGTGGATGCGATGAGAGATAGCGCACGGGAACGAGCCCGGAGGTGGGAGGAGAGCGAGGAAGAATGACCAGTGTAAACCCAGGAGTCGTCAACGATGTCGGCACAGCTGCTCCCTCCAATCACCTTCTTCATATGCCCTTACAGCGGTTCATTCCCATTGAGGGAACCGCTTCGTTGGAAGACAACCGTTTGAAGACCCTGAAGCATGCCGAAACAGTTTCTCGGGATTCCAACGCCACGGATCAATTTGACTGGTGCATCTTGACGGCCACGATTCGTGCCAGAGCGCCATTCCTGGGACTTGAACACAGCTAGCCAACAGCATTGTTGCATCCTCAGATTCCTGAATCCTTCCCAAATGCCGTTTCTTGTACGTTGAACATGGGAATCCGTGAAACCTTTGCAATTGTGTATATATATATAAACGCGTCTGCGCCGCGCTCAAGCCAAAACAAAGTTTGAAAAGGAGCCGCCCTCAATCCGTGAACACCTTGCAAATGTTTCAAACGGATGTACGCGGTGCTAAGGCGAGAGCTACATATTTGAAAACGTCCCGCCCTCAATCCGTGAAACTCTTGCACGTGTTTTAAGCGAATACGCGCGGTGTGTAGGCGAGAATCACATGTTGAAAACGACCCGCCCTCAATCCGTGAAGCTCTTGCAGATGTTTAACACGAGAGTGCGTGGCGCTAAGGCGAGCGCTACATGTTGGAACCGACCCGCTCTCAATCCGCGAACTCTTGCAGATGTTAGGAGCGAATGCGCGCGGCGCTAAGACGAAGGCCAAAGTTTGAACACCACCCGCCGTCCATCTTTGAACATGTTGTCAATGTCTTGGCGTCAGGGTTATACGTGGCGACGAAGTTTCAGGCGAAACGCCTGGCCCACCCTCAACAGTGGCTTCGAGGTGCGACAGGGAGAATTCATGTACTGGGAAAGGGAATGGAGAGAGGGAGGCGCACGCGAGGGGGGGAGGACGAGGAGGGAAGCATGATAAGAATGGTGGTGAAGCGGGCGAGGAGGATCAGGAGAAGGAGGACGATGAGGGGGATGATCATGATCAAGCGCGTGCTGATGAGACGCACGAGGAGCTGTACGAGGACAACGGGTCGGAGGATGACGAGGAAGGCGAGGAGGAGTAGAAGGGCAATGCTGAGAAGTGGGGCAGGGCAATGCTGCGAAGTGGGACGTGATTGGTCGAGGAAGAGCAGGGGGTGGGGCAGGGAGAGGGTAAACTGGGAGAGAGTGGATAAGAACGGCTTTGATGACAAGGAGGAGTTGGAAGCGGAGATGGGACAGAGGCATGAGGGAGGAGAAGGGAGAGGATGAACATAACGAGGATGGGGGAAGGAGGATATTAATGAGGGGAAGGTGAAGATGAGGGGAAGGGGCAACACGAGGAGAGGCACGGTGGAGTAGAACGAGGAGGAAGAGGTGGACAAGGAGAATGAGGACAGTGGAGGATGAGTAGGGGGACGCGAAGGTTGAGGAGGAGTGAGTAAGAGAGGGAGGGAGAGAGAGAGAGGAGTGATGAAGATGAGGAACACTTGAGTCGTAAAGACTGACACGATAAGGATGGCCAGGAGGATAGGGGAGGGAAGGCTGAAAGCGGTGGATGAGAGGAAGGGAGGAGACCGAGGAAACTTTGATGAGAGGAATGTGAAAGATGATGAAGCGGAGGCAAATATTAGGAGGAGGAGGGGAGGAGGAGGAGGAGGAGGAGGAGGAGGAGGAGGAGAAGGATGGAAGGGTGGAGGAGGGCCAAGAGAGCCGGGGGCATGTAGGAGGAAAGGAGGAAGCGGAGGAGGAAGCAGAGGCGAAGGGGGAGGAGGCCTAGGACGGAGGACTGAAACCAGGAGGAGGTGGGAGCGACGACGATGACGGTGGCGGGCCAGGTGAAGGACTTGAGTGGAGGAGGGAGGAGGATCGGAGGAGAAAAAGGGTACCCATACCAGTATCTTCCGCCCGTTTCGCTTTTTGGGGCCTCCTCGCCTCGGCGGCCGTCGTCGCCACCGCTGGATTCGCCTCGAAGTCCGGGTCAGAACGCATCCCGAGAGAGGTCTGGGGAGTATCGGTGCCTTTTGGTCCCCCAGGGGAGGAGGAGGGGGGGCAGTGGAAGGTGAAGGAGGAGGAGGAGGAGGAGGCACCAGTGGAAGAGGAGGAGGAGGAGGAGGAGGAGGAGGCACCAGTGGAAGAGGAGGAGGAGGAGGAGGAGGAGGAGGAGGAGGAGGAGGAGGAGGGGGGGCAGCGGAAGGAGGAGGAGGAGGAGGCACCGGTGGAGAGTGAAGGGGATGTTGTTGTTGCCAGGCGGGCGGTTCGGGGAGCTCCTCCGTCGACGCCTCACAGTTGCCCACGCTTCGCGCGCATCCCGCGGTCTGGCGCGTGTCGGCTCGATGTCGAGATCCACTACTTGTACCCGCACAGGTGATCTTACACTGACGTCGCCCTCGTCCTCGCATTCTCCGCCATGGCTTGGCGCTCGGCTTTGTGGCTAACCATGCCGTGCGCCTGCCGCGCGCTGTGGGGTGCCCTGGACTCGCACGTGGGCTCTGGAGAGCAGTTGCCCTCATGGAAGGCAGCCCTCTCCTCCCTCCCCCCCTTCCCCTCTCCTCCCTCCCTGCACGCTTTCTCCATCCCTCCTCCGTCCCTAGTCTTGCGTCCTCCCTCCATGCTTTCTTCCCTCCCTCCCTCCGTATCATCCCTCTCTCCTCCCCCCCCCGAGCATTTTCTCACTCCCTTCTTCCTCCCTCCTCCTCTGTGCCTCCGCCCTCCTCCGCCCTCTGCCTTCTGCCTCCTCCTTGCCTTCTGCCTCCCCCTTGCCTTCTGCCTCCCCCCTCCTCCCTCCTCCTCTTCCTCCTCGTACTCCTCCTCCTCCTCTTCCTCCTCCTTCTCTCCTCCTCCTCCTCCTCCTCCGCCTCCTCCTCCTCCGCCTCCTCCTCCTCCTCCTCCTCCTCCTCCGCCTCCGCCTCCTCCTCCTCTCCTCCTCCTCCTCCTCCTCCTCCTCCTCCTCCTCTCTCTCTCTCTCTCACTCTCTCTCTCTCACTCTCACTCTCTCTCTATCACTCTCTCTCTCTCTCTCTCTATCTCTCTCCCTCTTTCTCCCCCCCCTCCTCCACACCGTCGCTGCTGCCGCCGCCACTGCCACTTGCCCCGCAGGCGGGGCTGCCGTCCCCTCGCTGGATCACCCCCGTCATATTGTTGCTTCTCCCTCTGCTCCGCTCCTCTTAGCCTATTGGTTCATGTGTCTCCTGACGCCATGGCCTCATGGTCACCAGAACCATTCACCATCCATCAGCATCAAGAGCATGCACATCATCACCTTCGTCGTCATCCATTTTTTCCCACCCTCTCGTTAGCATCACCATCACCACCGTGATCATCGGCATTGTCATCATCAGTGTACTCCTCAGCATTACCAACGTAATCATCATCCTCATCGTTTTCATCTGTAGCCATCGTCGCCACCATCACGAACTCCACCTGCAGCACAAGCAACGGAATCCTCGTCACGCTAGTATCATCGACATCATCTTCGTGCCAAGGGCCGTCGTCTGCATCATACCTCCTTCTACATGATTACATGTTGCTTCTCATTTCTCGCCAAATGCATGTTATCTAGTTGTTATTCGCCGCACGCGGGGAAGCAGATGCCCGCCACCACGTTTGCAGCGGACGGTGCGTGCCTGGGCTCGTGGTCCGGGGGCCGCGTCAAGGAGTGCGCGGTTTGCGGGGCGGGGTCGGGGAGGCGGAGTTTCGATGTGGGGCCGGGCAAGCGGAGTTTCGCGGTGGCGGGTTTGCGCGGCAGTGATGGGTACACACAAATTTCATAATAGTTCGAGTGTCCTCACCAGCATGCCCAGGAGCAACGCCCAGGGGAGCTGCCCCTGATCGGTGAGCGGTGGCAACATTCGGATACGTCGGGGAGTCTCGGTGAACTTGAGGCCTCTCGGCTGCCCCTTGAAGGCTGCCTCTTCTTGTCGGACGGGATAAGATCCTTTGTGCAGATCCCTAAGCTTTCAATCTCAAACTTAGTTCATGAGTAGCAGTTTATAGTTTTCTCGCAGCCGCGATTCAAGGCGGGCGGGCGATCGCGCCTGTCGGATGCATTGCACCGAAGTCGCTGGCCAGCAGCGGTCTCGAATCTCACGGCCGCAGCCTCGCGAATGGGAAATTTAAGGAGTGCGGGGCGAGCCTTGCATGGGGGGGGCTTTGTGGGGTGTGGCGGAGCGCTTAGGGCCTACAGTGAAAACGTATAGTAAGGACGCGTGGTAAGGACGCAGGACCCTTGGGAGGCCGAAGCTGAAGTATTCTGGCCTGCGAAGATTGCTAGGGACGGGCCGCAGAGGCTGAGGCAAACAAGGACCCAAGGGTGCCCTTGAAAAAGTCGTTTGTCCTTACTATGCGCGTTTACTGTAGTGGAGCTAGGTGCGCTGGGGGGGGGGGGGGGGGCTGCAAAGTCTGCGCCTCTCGTGCAGGAGCTCCACTGGCTCCCCCAGCTCTTTCTTTTTCAAGTTTCGGCGGCCCCCGCCCCCCTGGCTCTGTCGTGGGCGCGGCGCCGCACCCGCCCTGCACCCCGCCCCTGACGCCACGTGAGGATGAGTCAGGAGGAGAGAGGAGGAGGAGGAGGAGGAGAGAGGAGAGGAGGGAGGAGGAGGAGGAGGAGGGAGGAGGAGGAGGAGGAGGAGAGGAGGAGGAGGAGGAGGAGGAGGAGGAGGAGGAGGAGGAGGAGGAGGAGGAGGAGGAGGAGGAGGAGGGGAGGAGGAGGAGGGGGAGGAGGAGGAGGAGGAGGAGGAGAGGAGGAGAGGAGGAGTGAGGAGGAGAGAGGAGGAGGGAGGAGGGGGAGGAGGAGGAGGAGGAGGAGGAGGAGGAGGAGGAGGAGGAGCTCGCCTCGCCCCAGCTGTCCAGCGCGCACCGGCGGACCCTCGGCCGGCCAGGGAGTGCACGTCGGCACGTTCTCTCGTTGCCCCTGCGGCACCCGCGCCCACCGCCGACGCCCAGCCCGCCGGGCCGCCTCGGGCCGAGCTGCCAAAGCCTGCGGCCCATGCGAGGCCTATCCCGTGCCTGGGAGGAGGAGGACGAGGAGGAGGAGGAGGAGGAAGAGGAGGAGGAGGAGGAGGAGGAGGAGGAGGAGGAGGAGGAGGAGGAGGAGGAGGAGGGGGAGGAGGAGGAGGAGGAGCCGCGGCCTCGCGACATCCGGGGCGGCGCCCGAGGCTTCCTGCCACTGTGCGCGGCTCGCTGCCACGATTGGCACCCCGTGGCTCTGGCACGACCGGCGCCACCGATCGTATGTCGCGACGTCTGCGCCCGTCCACCCGTGTCCAATCACGCGTCCAGAGCAATTATTTTGTCCGGCCCTGGGTCCCCTCAAATGAACCGCTCTTTGCCGTCGGGAAACCCGAACGCCGCCTCTTGGAGCCCTCTTGGGCCACTCCTGTGGAGTTATCGGGCGTCCTTGGGGCCGTCTTGGAGCCCTCTCGGGCCCTCTCGGACCTCTCGTGGGCCCTCTTGGAGCCCTCTCGAGGCCTGGGCCAGCCGAAGCGAACGGGCGAGAAGGCTGATCTGATTCCGCGTAAGCTTTGGAGGGGTGTTGGCCTCTCGGGGGGCGTCCTGGGAGGGCCCGCGCCCACTTGGACCCGTGCTGGAGGGTCTTTGGACTTTGGAAGCTGATTGGCAGTCATGCTGAGCCATCTTGGGAGGCTTCTGCGATATTGGAGGCCATGGTGGGCTATCTGAGGTCCTCTTGCGACATCTTGGGCCATCTCGAATGCTCTGACCGCTTGCGACCGCCCCCCCCCCCTTCCAGACCCAGGGGAGGGGTTAGGGGGAGAGTTCAAGCTTCCCCCCCGGAAGGATGGCCATCTCGCTCACTCCCACCCGCCCTCCCACCATATCAGTGGCACTCGAGTCTCAGTATGCGCAGGGGCCGCCATATGCAGGCGCCAGCCGGGTGCGCGACGCCATCCTGAAACACATGTGCATCCCCATGATTGGCATCGCATTTCTTTATCTCGATGTCGATCTTAAGGATCCATCAGTTTCTGCGGCGCGTCCCTAAGATTGTCATCACCTTTGGGCGTGTCAGTCTCAGGGGTAGGGATCAGCTCGACGCTGGTAACCCCTTCCCTCCCCTCCCTCCTTCCCTGTCCTGTCCTCCTCCCTCCTTCCCCTCGCCCGCTCAACCTCCCCTCCCCTCCTCCCCGTCCCTCATGTCCCCCTCCGTCATCCCTCCCTGGAGGCTGGGCACAACACGACCAAGTTGGTAAGGTCATGGCCCAATGATGTTCCACTGCCGCCACCATAATCCTCAGATTCCGGCGCCGGGAAAGAATCGCGACGGGCGTCTTCGGCCCCTTCCGGGCCCCAGACTTTGACGGAGCGACGATGGGGTCGAAAGCTCTGGTCTGTGATGCTCTCATGACGTCGGACCTCGAGGCGGAGGAGGAGGAGGAGGAGGAGGAGGAGGAGGAGGAGGAGGAGGAAGAGGAGGAGGAGGAGGAGGAGGAGGAGGAGGAGGAGGAGGAGGAGGAGTAGGAGGAGGGCAGGCGGGAGGCAGACGGCCTCCCAGACCTCGCCGATGTCCACCCCGCGCCAGGTCGGATCGCGCGTGGAAGTCTCCGACGCTCGGGAGGCCGTCTGCGTACAGCCAACCCCTCGTAGTAAGGATGAGCAATTTTCCCACGGCTGCCCTTGCATCCTCGCCCCGGCGGCCCATCCTGAGCCGCGTTCGCTGGCCGCGCCCCGCTCGCACGGTGACGACGTGACATGACCTCACAAGGCTCTGGCATCCTTACCGCGCGTCCTTCTGATCGGAGGGCACCAACTATACACTAACACCGATCCTGGCCCAGGATCACCCTGGGCCCAGGATCGGTGTATATGCCTTCTTGCGCAAGGCAGGAGGGCGTATACACCGATCCTGGGCCCAGGGTGATCCTGGGCCAGGATCGGTGTCGGTGTATAGTTGGTGCCTTCCTATTCTGATACGGGCCGGCTGTACTGCCCGATCAGAGAGGTGGCGGTGGTGGAACGCGGGGCACCGGCAAGGGACGTGAGGTGGTGGGCCCACGTGGGGGACCACGTGTACGTCGCGCCGTCGGAGAGCAACTACCTGAGCCAGCACATCGGCGACTACTACGTCGCCATGGGCTCCGAGAGCGCCCTCACCGACGTCATGCGCCAGCGCCGCGTGGGCGGGCACGGGCGCTGGCACATCTTCCACCTCCCGGAGGTCGGGGGAGGAAGAAAAACACCCCGCCCACCAGAACTCGAGGAAGCTGAGCACAGGGATCAAGGAGGCGCGTGGATCAGCGACGGGTCCCGCTTCCGCACGGAATCGGTGTGCCCCGCCGCCGGATTTGGCGGCACGCGCCGCACGATTTTTGGGGGATGTGTTCCACGGTCCGTGGATTTGGCGCCCTCTCGCCAGATCCACGGATCTCTGATCCATGTTAGTGCGCGCCCGAAAGAGGCCGCGCCTAGACGGCGAATCTGCAGAAGAACATGTCATGTGTGAAAGGCCTTGAGAGTTCATGCGACAAAGTTGATGGCCGAGTGCAAGCGCGCCGGAGCGCGCCGGAACGCACCCACGGCGCACCAGGCCCCACAACTGCTGTTTACTGATCAGTACTGGGCGTTACTCAGCAGTCCTGCTCCGCCCGATTCTTTCCTGAGGTGCGCTCACTCGTAATTCGCCTGGCGAAGGGCCAGATCATATTCAGCTGCGTGTAGCGCAGGCCACGGGTCTCTCTGGATTTACTGCGCGCCGCTGGGCAGCGCGGATCAGGAGCCGCGGAGCAGGCGTGCAAGAGCACCGTGAGCTCCCTGCGTGAGGGGGGGCACGCTTCGCGCGAGGGGCACACGGAATCGGGCGCAGGCGCGCAGGTGCACGCACTCGCCGGGACCGGAAGTGGAGCTCCTTTCAGGGGGGGGCACCATGCGAACCCTGCCGCTGGGGCCGTGGGTGGCGATGCCTATGTGGCCACGATCTTCGTCATGGGTGCGCCGAATGGAGGAGGGCCGCCAGGCGAGCCCTGCCCCTCGGGCAGGAGGGGGAGCTCCCTAGGGGGTGCCGTGGGTGGAGCACCCCATGCTGGCTCGAAGCGTGGCAGGGGCGGGCGAGGTGGGCGGGAGGCCGACATGATGTCACCGCCAATGCAGCTCCCTATGGGGCCTGGAACATGTAGCAGGAGCGAGCGAAATGGTTGGGGGCCGCATGTGGACGCAACCGCTGGGGCCTCAGGTGGAGCTCCCCATGGGGCCCGAAAAACGATGCAGGGGCAAGCGAGATTGGCGGAGGAACTTGTGGACGCACCCACTGGGGCCTTAGGTGGAGCATTGCATGGAGCGTGGAAAACGATGCTGGGGCGAGCGAAATTGGTGGCGGCCGCATGTGGACGAACCCACGGGGGTCCTTGGGGCCTTCTGTGGAGCTCCCTGTGGGGCTTGAGGCGCGTGAGGGGTGTGCCAGAATGGGCGTGGTTAGGCATGTAGAGCATGCCGTTTGGGGCTTCTCTGGAGCTCCCATGGGGCCACGAAGCGTATGAGATGTGTGAAATTGCCAGTATGCATTTGTGAAGCACCCACCCGTATGCAATTGTGAATCTTCCACTTGTGAATATCGCCTTCAGTGGATCTCCTTATGAGGCCACGAAGCGCGTGAAAGGTGTGCCGAAATGGGCCTGAAGCGCATGCGGGCCTTGCCACTGGGGCCTCAGGTGGAGCTCCCTATGGGGCCTGCAAAACGTTGCAGGGCTAGCGACTTGGGTGGGGGGAGCGTGTGGACTCACCCACTGGAGCCGTAGGTGGAGCACCCTATGGGGTCTGGAAAATGACGCAGGGACGAGCAAAGTTGGTGGGGGCCGCATGTGGACGCACCCACTGGGGCCCCAGGTGGAGCTCCCTATGAGGCCTGGACAGCGTGGCAGGGGCGAGCGAAATGGGCGGGGGACGCATGTGGACGCACTGGCTGGGGCCTTCGGTGGAGCTCCCTGTGGAGCTTGTGGCGTGTGAGGGGTGTGCCAGACTGGGCGTGGTCAGACATGCGAAGCCTGCCGTTTGGGCCTTCTGTGGAGCTCCTTGTGGGGCCACGATGCGTGCGAGAGGTGTTCCAGAATGGGCGTGGTCAGGCATTCCACTGGGGCCACAGGTGGAGCTCACTATGGGGCCTGGAAAATGATGCACCCACTGGGGCCTCAGGTGGAGCTCCCTATGGGGCTTGGAAAGCGATGCAGGGGCAACAGAAATTGGTGGGGGCCGCATGTGGACGCACTTGCTGGGGCCTCCAGTGGATGTCCTTGTGGCGCCACGAAGCGCGTGAGCGGTGTGCCGAACTGGGCCTGGGGCGCGTGCGGGCTCCGCCTCTGGGCCCTTCGGTGGAGCTCCCTAGCGGACCTGCAACGCGGGTGGCCGGCGTGCCGAACTGGGTGGGGAGCCGCACTCCCTCCCCCTGAGGGCTTCGATGGAGCTCCACGTGGGGCCACGAAAGGTTTGGGGGTGTGCCGACACGTGTTGGGATCCGCATGCGGAAGACCATTCTTGGGGGGGTCGGTGGAGCTCCCTGCGAGGCCCCGAAACGTGTTGGGGTGCGTGCCAACATGGAACACGTGTAAGAACCACATGCGTCCCCACAGGAACCGCATGCGACCAACCCCCTGCTGGGAGTTTCAGTGGAGCTCCCTCTGGGGCCACGAAACGTATGAGGGGTGTGCCAGAACGGGTACGAACCGCATGCGACCCGCCCGCTGGGGCTTCGGGGTGGAGCTCCCCGTGGGGAAACGAAACAGGAGCGTGCCGAAATGGGTAAGAACCGCATGCGACCCCCCCCTCCTGGAGGCTTCGGTGGAGCTCCCTGTGGGGCTACGAAACGTTTGAGAGGTGTGCCAAAATGGATGAGGACCGCATGCGACCGCCCTCTCCTGGGGGTTCGGTGGAGCTCTCTCTGTGGGGAAACGAAACGTGTGAGGGGTTGCCAACGTCGGTAAGAACCGTATGCGACCCCCCCTCCTTGGGGTCTTCAGTGAAGTTCACTGTGGGGCCAAGCAACGTTTGAGAGTTGTGGCGAAATGTACATGCGGAGAGCAGAGTTTGGGATGGGAGGAGGGAGAGAGGAGCAGAGGAGAGGAGAGGAGAGGAGAGGAGAGGAGAGGAGAGAAGAGGAGAGGAGAGGAGAGGAGAGGAGAGAGGAGACGCGGGCGATGTCTCTTCAAAAAGACGACCCAACGCTACATCGATGAGAAGAATTAGAGGGTTTCGTTTGTGGGGGTACTTAAGATGAGGAGGGTCATTCTGCCCTCTGAGAGGGGCCAGACACGATGGAGTTCAATCGGCGTGGCGACCGCCGCTCCGCCTTCAGCGCGCTCGTGCAGCTGCGCGCCGGGGACGTGATGCCGGCGACCTTCCCGAAGTACAACCCGTCCGAGTGCGAGGATTCGGCGGGTGAGCGCTTCGATCAGATGGAGAAGTCGGCTGTGGATTCGATCACGGCTGGCAGCTTCCTGGAGCAGCTCCAGAAGATCGTGAACATCAAGGACGACACGGGCACCATCACTCGTAGCTACGCCAACCCAGATGCCTCGCACGCCGCGCAGGCGTTCGTAAAGAAGGAGTTCGAGTCCATGGGCTTGAAGAGTTGCCTTCAGAGGTTCACGTACCAGGGCACCACCCACATGGCCAACGTGGTGGCGGTCATCCCGGGGACTGGCGAGGGGACGCTCACTGTGGGGGCCCACTACGACTCTCGGCCATTCAAGGGTGCCGCGCCCGGGGCGGAGGACAACGGAAGCGGCTTGGCGGCCATGCTGTCCGTGGCCAGGGCCTTTGCGAAGCAAGGGCTGAAGCCGAAGAGGACGGTGTACTTCGTCGGCTTCGCCGGCGAGGAGCCCGGCCTCGTGGGGTCGTACTTCTTCGCCCAGACGCTCAAGGAGGGCAAGCCGCTGCCCCAGGAGTGCGGCGCGCCCGCGGGCGGCAGCTTCGTGCAGGGCAGCAGCTTCATGCAGGACTTCCGGGCCAGGGGGGCCTCCGACCACGACGCCATCGCCCTGGACGAGGTGGGCTGGCTGACCCCCAAGTACGACAAGGCGACGGTCAACCTGGAGTCGTACGACTGGACCACCAGCATCATGGACCACATGGCCTGCGCCAGCCGCAGGCACAACGGCGACGCCCTGGAGGTTGTCCACAGCAGCCACCCGTTCGGCTCGGACCACATGAGCTTCCTGGAACAAGGCATGAAGGCTGTCCTGGTCATCAACGGTGACGACGAGGCGTACCCGAATTACCACATGAGTTCAGACACCATAGACAACGTTAACACCGAGTATGCGGCCAAGATCTCGAAGATGGTGATGGGGGCCGTGATGCGCCTCGCCGGGCAGTAGTCTAGCTTTTGGCTAGAGACTTTGGAACACGGCTCGCTGGACGCGGTAGTTTGCACGTTGTGCTGGAGTCGGCCTCGTTGGCGTTGTAGTTCTGTTGCGCCAGCCATAGCATCGTTCTGGCGTAGCCTCGTTCTTTCCACCAGCCTTAGCATCGTTTTGTTGGACCAGCTTGATCGCTGCCACCCCTGCGCTTGCTGAGTCCTGCTACTGCTACTCCCTTCCTTCTCCGCGTCCTACTTCCTGCTTCTCATTCTCCTCCTCCTCCTCCTCCTCCTCCTCCTCCTCCTCCTCCTCCTCCCCACATCCTCCTTCTGTTCGAGACGACTCGACCTCCCTCGATGCGCTCCGAAGATTCGCCCCCGGACAAGCTGAGGACAGCCACCCAGGAAGTTCTCGAGAGAGCAACGTTACAGCCTCCCCTCAACCGCGAGGGTGTGCCGTGAGGGGCTCAGAGCAGTGGCGTCCTGTGTCATCCTGGGTCTTTTGGCGCTTGTTGTACCCCTAGTGGTTCCGGAGCCTCGGGCCCCCCTGGACCAATTCCATGGTTTTCCCGGACCGGCTGGGTTCTCGTGCGGCTTACTGGAGCACCGGAACCTTTCTGGAGCCTTCTGGAGCTTCCTGGGGGTTCCTGGTAGTTCCCCACATCCTGAGTGGGGTTCTTGTTTTCCCAGAACACCCTCTCCTTCCCACCCACCTCCCGCTCCATCTTTCATACAGCACAATATTATTCCTACCACACACACACCATACCATACCATAGTTCCTACCACACATACCATACCATACCATACCATACCATACCATACCATACCACACCATACGTACCATACCGTACCATACCATACCATGGCGTACCATAGCATACCATACCATATCACACCAATGCCACACCGTACCATACCATACCATACCTCCAGTACCATACCATACCATATCATACCATACCGTACCATACCATACCTACGAGGAGGGTATCCGAAAACCATACTATTTACATGGTTTCGTGCCCCTCCCACCCCTCCAGGGAGGCCCCGCCTGAGCGAGGAGGGTATCGGAAACCATACTATTTACATGGTTTCGTGCCCCTCCCACACCTCCAGGGAGGCCCCGCCTGAGCGAGGAGGGTATCCGAAAACCATACTATTTACATGGTTTCGTGCCCCTCCCACCCCTCCAGGGAGGCCCCGCCTGAGCGAGGAGGGTATCGGAAACCATACTATTTACATGGTTTCGTGCCCCTCCCACCCCTCCAGGGAGGCCCCGCCTGAGCGAGGAGGGTATCGGAATACCATACTATTTACATGGTTTCGTGCCCCTCCCACCCCTCCAGGGAGGCCCCGCCTGAGCGAGGAGGGTATCGGAATACCATACTATTTACATGGTTTCGTGCCCCTCCCACCCCTCCAGGGAGGCCCCGCCTGAGCGAGGAGGGTATCGAAAACCATACTATTTACATGGTTTCGTGCCCCTCCCACCCCTCCAGGGAGGCCCCGCCTGAGCGAGGAGGGTATCCGGAAAACCATACTATTTACATGGTTTCGTGCCCCTCCCACCCCTCCAGGGAGGCCCCGCCTGAGCGAGGAGGGTATCGGAAAACCATACTATTTACATGGTTTCGTGCCCCTCCCACCCCTCCAGGGAGGCCCCGCCTGAGCGAGGAGGGAAAACCATACTATTTACATGGTTTCGTGCCCCTCCCACCCCTGCAGGGAGGCCCGCCTGAGCGAGGAGGGTATCGGAAAACCATACTATTTACATGGTTTCGTGCCCCTCCCACCCCTCCAGGGAGGCCCCGCCTGAGCGAGGAGGGTATCCGAAAACCATACTATTTACATGGTTTCGTGCCCCTCCCACCCCTCCAGGGAGGCCCCGCCTGAGCGAGGAGGGTATCCGAAAACATACTATTTACATGGTTTTCGTGTCCCCCCTCCACTCCTCCAGAGAGGCCGCGCTTGAACGAGGAGGGTCGCGGAAAGCATTACTCTTCGCCAGGTTTCGTAGCCCTCCCCCCTTCCAGCGGGGCCCCGCCAAAGCGAGGAGGGCATCAAGAAAATGGGTCCCACGAAACCGTTAATCTCTTTATGTGGGGAACTCCGTTAGCATAATTTTGTGTCGCCCCGACCTGACGCCGACGCCGTTGCGTAAATTCCACCAAGGGCCTGAATTCGGACGATCTGCGTTGTCGGATAGCGAGGATCACACAAGATGGAAAGATCTAGACTGTGCCAGAAACTCGGCGTCCAAGAGGGGGTTGATCACTAGGGGGGGGATATCCTGGCTGGGGCCATGCTATCTCTCCAGATGCCATGGCCTCTCTTCACTTTGGAGGAGGAGGAGGAGGACGAGGAGGAGGAGGAGGAGGAAGAGGAGGGGGAGGAGGAGGAGGAGGAGGAGGAGGATAAGATAAGATAAGACCGATCGCGAAGCGAGTTCAAAACATAAAACCCCCCACTGCAGGGCCTAGGCAGTGGGTTGGGAAAGGCTCAGTGCACTTCGGCCGTTCCAAAACTGAAAAAGGCCGAGGAGGGGAGGGGACGCTCAGAGGTGCACGTACACGTCCAACGCCTCCAGGACCAGCCCCCCCCCGAGGGGAGGGGACCCCCCTGCCACCCGCCAGGCACGCCAGGCGCTGGTCGGGGACACAGGACACCCCTCGCCACCAGGCGGGGCACCTGGTGCGAGTCTCGGGGCGGGTGCCCTGGCCTGCTCCCCCCAGTCCCCTTGCCCAAGGGGGACAGAGCAGGACTCCCCGTGAGCCTGGCCGCAGCCAGACCCCCCCTCCACACCCTGGCGCGGCCGGGGAGCCGCCGGGCCAAGACAGTGGAGGGGACCCGATTCGGCCGTAGCCGAATCGGGTTTACCGTTTAGGCCCGAAGGCCGGGGTCGGTGCCCCCAACTGCCGAAACCACCCACCCGCCCAAAGCAATGCCGTGGGAGGGTGGGCGGTTTCAGCAGTGGCGCAGCCCCCACGCAGGCCACGACTAAGCGGGTTTCAGTTCCCCCCGACGCCGGGAGGTGCCGCCCACACCAACCGGCTGCCCGCCCGGGGGCAGGAGGAGGAGGAGGAGGAGGAGGAGGAGGAGGAGGAGGAGGAGGAGGAGGAGGAGGAGGAGGAGGAGGAGGAGGGGGGGGGAGGAGGAGGAGGAGGAGGAGGAGGGAGAGGAGGGAGAGGAGGAGGAGGACCAGTGTAAACCGAAGATCCATGAACGATGTTGGAATACACTCTCCGTCCGAGCCCCCCTTTCATAGGCCCTACAAGGCTTCATGTCCACTCAGAGAATTGCGCCGTCTGGGGACAAGTTTGCGAAAGTCTTGACGCGTGCCAAATCACCATGCTCAGGACTTCAAACCACGAATCAATTTGACTATTACGTCTTGACGATCCGTTCGTGATTATTTCTTTCGGTTATTACGCCACGAATCAATGTGACTATTACGTGCCAGAGCACCGTTCGTCGGACTTCAACTCCGCAAATCAACGTCACTGTTGCGCCCTGATTCCTGAATCGCACCGAAACACCGTTGTCGGAATGCTAACCAAGAGAATCCGTGAAACTCTTGCAATATTTTATGACGAATGTGCGCGGCGCTAAGGCGGGGGCCACATGTTGAAAAGGAACCGCCCTCAATCCGTGAAGTTCTTGCAATGCTTTAGACGAATGTGCGCGGCGCTAAGGCGAGAGCCACATGCTGAAAACCCCCGCGCTCAATTCGCAAAGTTCTTGCAATCCGTTTCATGAATGTGCGCGGCGCTTAGGCATGAGCCACATTTTGAAAACGACCTGTCCTCAATCCGTGAAACTCTTGCAACATGTTCCCAACCATCCTGTGGTGTTGGGTCCTCGTTTTGAAGAGACAGCGCCCCGCGTTCCTCCTCCCGCTGCCCCCTATCCTGCTCCCTCCTCCCATCCCTGCCTCTGCCCTCCGCACTCTTTGTGGTCCTATAGGGAGCTCCACCGAAGGCCCCAGCGGCAGCGCCCGCATGCAGTTCCACCCCCATTTCGGCACACCCCTGACACGCTTCGTGCCCCCAAAGGGAGCTCCACCAAAGTTCCCAGTGGCAGCGCCCGCATGGAGTTCCACACCCATTCCTGCGCACCCTCACACCTTTCGTGGCCCCATCGGGAGCTCCACCGAAGACCCCAGTGGCGGCGCCTGCATGCAGTTCCACCTTCATTTCGGCACACCCCTCACACGCTTCGTGGCCCCCTGGGGAGCTCCACCGAAGGCCCCAGTGACAGCGCCCGCATGCAGTTCCACGCCCATTTCAGTGCTCCCCTGACGCTTCGTGTTCCTATAGAGAGCTCCACCGAGGGCTCCAGTGGCTGCGCCCGCATGCAGTTCTACCTCCATTCCGGTACACCCTCGTTCGTTTCGTGGCCCCACAGGGAGCTCCACCGAAGGCCCCAGTGGCAGCGTCCGCATGCAGTTCCAACCCCCATTTCGTCACACCCCTCATTTGTTTCGTGGCCCCATAGGGAGCTCCACCGAAACCCCCAGTGGCAGCGCCCGCATGCAGTTCCACCACCATTTCGGCACACCCCTCACACGCTTCGTGCCCCGAAAGGGAGCTCCACCAAAGGCCCCAGTGGCAGCGCCCGCATGCAGTTCCACACCCGTTCCTGTGCACCCTCACACCTTTCGTGGCCCCATCGGGAGTTCCACCGAAGGCCCCTGTGGCAGCGCCCGCATGGAGTTCCACTTTCATTTTCGGGGCACCCCTCACACGCTTCGTGGCCCCATAGGGAGCTCCACCAGAGGCCCCAGTGGCAGCGCCAGCATGCGGTTCTACCTTCAATCTCGGTGCACCACTGACACGCTTCGTGGCCCCATAGGGAGGTCCACCGAAGGCCCCAGTGGCAGCGCCCGCATGCAGTTCCACACCCATTCCTGTGAACCCTCACCTTTCGTGGCCCCATCGGGAGCTCCACCGAAGGCCCCAGTGGCGGCGTCCGCATGCAGTTCCACCTTGATTTCCGCATACCCCTCACACGCTTCGTGGCCCCTGGGGAGCTCCACCGAAGTCCCCAGTAGCAGCGCCCGCATGCAGTTCCACACCCATTCCTTTGCACCCTCACACCTATCGTGGCCTCATCGGGAGCTCCACCGAAGGCCCCAGTGGCGGCGCCCGCATGCAGTTCCACCCCCATTTCGGCACACCCCTCACACGCTTCGTGGCCACATAGGGAGCTCCACCGAAGGCCCCAGTGGCAGCGCCAGCATGCGGTTCTACCTTCAATCTCGGTGCACCACTGACACGCTTCGTGGCCCCATAGGGAGGGAGGTCCACAGAGGGCCCCAGTGGCAGCGCCCGCATGTACTTTTACTTTCAGGCTCTGTGCACCCCTTACACGGTTCGTGGCTCCAAACGGAGCTCCGCCCAGGGCTGGCCCCGGCGGCAGCGCCAGCATGCAGTTCAACCCCCAGTCCGGAAAAACCCTTCACACGTTTCGTGGTCCTTTAGGGAGGTGCATCTACTTTCGGCCCCAATGGTAGCGCCCGCATGCGGTTTCACCCGCCACTTCGGTGCCTCCCTCATACGCTTCGTGGCCCCATAGGGAGCTCCACCGATGGCCCCAGCTGTGGCAGCGCCCGCATGCAGTTCTACCTTCAGTCGCGGTGCACCGCTGACGCGGTTCGTGGCCCCATGGGGAGCTCCACCAAAGGCCCCAGGGGCAGCGCCCGCATGCAGTTCCACCCCCAGTCCGGCATAACCCTTCACACGTTTCGTGCCCCAAGAGGGAGCTCCACCAAAGGCTCCAGTGGCAGCGCCCGCATGGTTTCCTAGGATCCCCGTGGTGGGTTTGGGGTTTCTTGTGCTGTAAGGTTTCTGTTTGTCGAGTTCTGGGTTGCGGCCAAGTGCCACGATCTTTGCGACCACGGTCATAACGAGAGAGTAGATTGTAGAGAGACGAGAGTTCATACTAGAAAGTAGATGCGACATGATCGGAAATGTGAGTTTAGCCTACAGAGGCCAAAGCGAGTTGATAAGGTAGGTACAGTAAGAGTTGAGACAGCGTGAAAGAGAGAGAGAGAGGGAAAGAAAGTACATGCGATCACGGTCAGAATGACAGAGTGGAGTGTAAAGAGACGAGAGTACATACCTCAGCGTACGTAGGCTGGTTGAGTGTCTATCTATATATGTGTAGAGATGACAGAGAGAGAAAGAGAGAGCGAGGGGAATATAGCGAAGAAAGAGAGAGAGAGAGAGAACAACAAAAAAAAAAAGTAGAGCACGAGAAAGGGCAGGAAGGGGAAGACGACGAATGCAATTAATCATTTCTCCGACGGAAAGACCCCACTTGAAAATCCTTTCGGCTATTTGGGAAATAACCTCCACTGTCGTCCTCGCGATTAGTGAGGCGTCCTTGTTGTCTTATCTGCGTCATTATCATTCTCGCCCTGGCGCAGGGCCCTCACCCGCTCCCCGCGTTGCCCTTGCCTCGCCCTCCTGCTGTTTGTTTCGTCATCCACAACCTCCTTTCCTGTCTATTGCAAGGGCGCGCGCGTCGATTTTCCTCGACGCCGTCGCCGCCTCGGCCAGCGCGGGCGCATTCTCCAATGGCCGCGTCGCGCGGCTGTTGGGACAACCCCGCGGGCCAGCCCGTTGGGACAACCGCGCGAGCCGCTGGCGCGTGGGAGCAACCCGTTGGGACAACCCCGCAGGCACCGAGCTAGTCACGGCCGCGCTCAGGCGGGAGGCAGCACGAAGCCAAGCTCTGCGGCGAGCCCGATTCGGCCGAGGATGGGTTACCACCCCCGGCCCGGACGCAAGGGTTCCCCCCTGCGCCCGATTCGGCTGACGATGGGGCACCACCGCCAGCCCGGAGACAAGGGTTTCCCCCTGCCACCGCTTCGGCCGAGGATGGGTTGCCGCCCCCGGCCCGGACGCAAGGGTTTCCCCCTGCGCCCAGCCGCCGTCGTCGTCCTTACCTCCTGTGCCTCCTCTTTCTCTTCACCTGCCGGGTCGGGCGAATCGCCCGCCTGGTATTTTCTCCACACTCAGGCATTAGTAACCCGAAATTGACGACAGTTACAAGGTTGAGGGTGACCCGTTCGGATTGAAAAACATATAATGCGGGCCCCATAGGGAGGGGGCTCCCGCCTGAGATTTCCCTACTGTTCATTCACAGACGAGGCTACTCGCCTGATATTTACTCCATAGTCCGGCTTCGAGAGCCCCAGAATGACGACAGATACAGGGTTGAGGATGACCCGCTCGGATTAAATACGTGAAGCGCGGGCCCCATAGGGAGAGGACTCCCGCCCGAGACTTCGTCACAGTTCATTCACAGACGAGGCTATCCGCCTGATACCTCCTCCATGTTCAGGCCCCGGGAACCCCAAAGTGACGACAATTACAGGGTTGAGGATGACCCGTTCGGATCAAAAACAATGAAGTGCGGGCCCCATAGGGAGGGGGTTCCACCTGAAACTTCCTCGCCGTTTGCACACGAAGCTCTCCCGCCTGGTACCTCATCCATATTCAGGCTTCGGGAGCCCCAAAGTGACGACAGTTGCAGGGTTGAAAACGACCCGCTCAGATGTAAAACGTGAAGTGCGGGCCCCACAGGGAGAGGGCTCCCACCCAACAGTTCCCCGCAATGCACACAGTCGAGGATGCAAGCTAGCGAGTGAGTCGGTGAGTGAGTAAGGGAGTGACTGACTGAATCAGTGATGATGATGGGGATGATGCGGATGATGAGTGAGTGGGTGAGTGAGTGTGTGATCGAGTGATGGTCAAGGTGATCAAGATGGTGTGTGTGTGAGTGAATGTGAATGTGAGTGAATGTGTGTTCCTGTGTGTTCCTGCGCGGGGTGTCCAGAGGAAACAAGAACCCCACTTCGGATGTGGGGGAAAATGAACGAGGAGGAGGACGACGACGACGACGGCGATGACAGGAGTCAGTATCAAGACCCTTGCGATCTGTCATCATGGGAACGTCTTGGATGCTTCTTGGAGCCCTCTTGGGGCTATTGTGGAGGCCTCTTGGGGTTCTCTTGGAGTTACGTTGGGGTACTCTGGAAACCCTTGGGGTTTCTTGGGGGCCATCTTGGAAACCATCGGGGCCGTCGCCGACTTCGGTCCCCCGGTCGGAGCCTTCAAAATAACCTGTTGAGGCCCTCCGTAGCCATTTTGGCTCAAGCCACTTCGGCTCAAGATGGCTCAATGTTTTTTGGGCTCCATGCCATCTCCGCCCTGTCAGAACTGTTCAACTGGGCTTGCCGCCCACGGGCTTGTCATGGGTGTCACAGTGCTCTGTGCTGCGTTCTCCGTATTACTCCACGGTGTCTCTTCCATGTCCAGTTGTTTGGACGGAGCAAGTCTTCATATCGATATCGACATGTTCCTGGCTTCGTTATCCGTACTCGTCTACTTTGTCGATTTCCACTACCTGAAGAACACGGAGGAAATCACAAACATGAGCAAGTTGACCAACGCACGATCTTGGATCGGTAAGGTTGTTCTCGAAGGTAGGCGCAAAGTTTTGCGTTCAGTCTCCGCCGAGGAACCTGCATCGCGTAAGCAATTCGGTACTGTTGACGACGGCCACGATGGTTCATGGGATCCGCTTGGACACAAACGTCACCGATCGAGGTCCGACATGCACACGATCGAGCGCGCACGGAGAGAGAGCGTGAGCCACACTCTCCCGAGCATGCTGAAAGTGATGCATGCCGCCATCAGACTGGGACACGGAGAAGCAGCCGTGACGTTGTTCGATCAGATGCTGGAGAAGGGGGCCGTTCCTGGTGCACACCTTATCCACAAGGCCGTGTCAAACCGTTTCTTCCAGCTCGTCGCTGACACTCTCGACGACAAACGCGTGCAAATAGACGGATTGCGGCTTCTTGATTTAGTCAGAGCTCATGGGATTCACGCGTCGGTTGAGATTCAGAACCGTTTGCTGGCTGCATGGAGGGACCGTCAGCTTCCAGAGAGTGTCGTTGAGTATTTCGTAAAGATGAAGAGCGCGGGTACCACCCTCAGCAAATGGGCATGTCGTTCCATGGTCGTGGCCTACGAGCGTTCCGATCCAGAATTAGTTTTGAAGATTTGCAATGAAATGGAGGGATCAGGTATTCAGCTCTACCGGGCGGCGTACAATGCGGTGTTGGGTGTTCGTCTTCAGCTTGGCATGCACAAGGAAGCCGACGCGTTGTTCATGAAGATGGCTGACCATGCAGTGGCTCCCAATGCACGAACTTATAGCGTCATGATCAGGGTCTATTCGTTCAGCGACCAACACGAGAAAGCTATTGCCATCTTCGGAACTATGTGTGAACACCTTTTCGAGCCCGACCATGTCGACTACCATTATGCAATCCGTTCTTGCGTAAAGATCCAGCGTGTTGGATACGCCGTACAACTATACAACGACGCGATTCAGGCGAAGGTGCCCCTTCTCGCGAGCACGTGCGTCATTCTGAGCCGTGCGTGCAAACGCGTTGGCTGGATGTGTTCGGCGAACAAGTTCGAAATGGAGCTGACACACCAGCAAATAGCTCTTATGCAGGAGGTAGTGGCCGCGTGGAAGTTTCAAGCGTAGCATGACGTCCAAGGTGCTATAGCAAACGAGCGGTCCAGGTAAGATGCAGCAAGTTGTTCGTTGACACCCAGCATGGCAGCACGGCTGCTGCCAGATCCTCGTAGCTCTGCGGTTGCGTTCGCGTAACAGCAGCTTTTCTAGTGTTTTTGTACGCATGTACAGCAATATAATGTATCCACGTGTATCCGTGTTTCTTGCGGATAGTTTGGTACGGCATCCTGTCTATAGGTGTCTATTCTGCGCGAAGATGCTATGCAGTCGACCGCCCAGTCCCGACTCCTTTCTAGAATGTTAGGTTTGTGCAGGATTTTGAATTGTTGTGGGTGGGGGGCCCGAAGCGTGGCGGAGGAGGGGGAGGAAGGGGGTTGGAGGAGAGGCAAGAGGATGAGGAGGCGCTTGGGACGGCGCAACGTGTGTGGAAGGCAGTACTTGTGGTGGTTGCCGTGGCCGTCATGCTCTTCGCGGCCCTTAGTGTGCCGGGCGTGAGGGGGGCTGGCTGCTGGCACACCGCGATGTCTTCAACGATGACTGTTGCTCGGCCACTCAGCTTGCAGCTCCGAGTGGATCTCCACCAGCCTTATGTTTGCCGTGGACTGTTTTTTTGCTGCTGCGATATATGCTTTTGGCCGCTGCACCCGTTGCCACATCTCCTTGTTGGCCGGTTGCGCGGCTGGGCCGCCATCTTCCAGCGACTCAACGCCAGTGGGCCCCTTGAAAAAAAAAAACAAAAAAAAAAAACCTGTTGAGGCCCTCTTCGGGCGCTCGTGGGCTTTCTTTGGGGTGTCTTTGACTCCTCGTGATCCCTTGTTGGGCTCGTCTTGAGCCCTGTTGGGGCCATCGGGAGGCCTCAAGGATTTGAGCAGAGGCTTAAGGCGAGCCGAGCGAGCTATCCGCCGCCGTTGTGGCTCTCAGCAGTAATCAGTACCAGTACTATGGCTACGATCGCTTGCGACAAACAGAAAAATCTGTTCTATATCGCACCATCTGAATCTTCCATACCATATCCCACATTTCAGCTACACGCTCATTCCAGGTATGTTTGCCATATTGTTTTCGCCTTGATAGCGGAGCTTGCCTCACGACAGTGTGGCTGGTTCTGACGCTAACACTTGTATATCACGGCGCAGGTAGGCGGTCTTTAACGTAGTGGTTCTGATTGCGCCACGTCCCTTCACGGAACAGAGCCAGGTATTGCCTTATTTGTGACGATGTTCCAGTCGACGGCAGCGTCGACCACAACGTGTACGCCACGGCTACACGCCATTGTACACCCAAATCGCCACCAACATCCGATTTGGCAACAAGTGCCACGACCTGGTTATCCAACGTGGCTCGATGCCACCGCGCGGAGAGGCGCCGACACCCATCCGCAAACAGACGGCCACGCTAGCCCATGAAAAGCAAGACCACCACATCCGTGACCAAGACCTGATTATGCACTATATCAAGATCTCGGCCTTCAGCTCTATATGGATGTGCCCCGATTCTGCAGTGTGGTACATGCAGCGAGGATGGGATGATACCCATGCCCGAGGTCCTTCCTGGGACCCCGCAGGCAACACACCGTCTCGCGGGGTCGGCCGCGAAGTTCTCTCTCATGGCTGAACGTTGCCAGCGGCACGGTGACACCACCCCAGCAAACCGCAGCCGTACTGCCCGGCCCGAGTGACCTCGCGAGGACAATTGCGATGAGGGTGCCCTCCCACATCATCAGCTATAGAGTTACCATCCCGAAGTCAACGCACCGACGGCGTACTCAATATCATCTCCCCCCTCAGTTCAAAATTCTTTACGCTTCGCGTATCCCCACCAGCCCATCTCACAACAGCAACTCTTTTGAAGCATGCCGACAGTCGTGTTTTTCAGGCGTGCGTCCGCTTGGCCCCGCATATCTCCCCTGTTCCTCCTTCCTCCCGCCTCCTTGTACATCCTCCTTGTGGGGGGAGCGGGAGAAGGACGAGGCGGAGGAGGAGGGAGAGAAAGCGCTCCTCGTGATTTGAGTCGTTTGGGGTTTCTCGTCCTGGTGTGAGTCGTTCGGGCCCTTCTTCCTGGTGTGAGTCGTTCGGGCTCTTCGTGGTGTGAGTCGTTCGGGCTCTTCGTCCTGGTGTGAGTCGTTCGGGCTTCTCGTGGTGTGAGTTGTTCGGGCCCCTCGTCCTGGTGTGAGTCGTTCGGGCCCCTCCTCCTGGTGTGACTCGTTCGGGCTCCTCGTGGTGTGAGTCGTTCGGGGCCCGCGTCGTGGTGTGAGTCGTTCGGGCTCCTCGTGGTGTGAGTCGTTCGGGCGCCTCGTCCTGGTGTGAGTCGTTCGGGCCCCTCCTTGTGGTGTGAGTCGTTCGGGCTCTTCGTGGTGTGAGTCGTTCGGGCCCCTCGTCCTGGTGTGAGTCGTTCGGGCTCCTCGTGGGGCCTCTTGGGGGCCTCTTGGAGCCTCTTGGGGCCTCTTGGGGGCCTCTTGGGGGCCTCTTGGGGGCCTCTTGGGGGCCTCTTGGGGCCTCTTGGGGCCTCTTGGGGGCCTCTTGGGGGCCTCTTGGGGGCCTCTTGGGGCCTCTTGGGGGCCTCTTGGGGGCCTCTTGGAGGCCTCTTGGGAGCCTCCTGGGGGCCTCTTGGGGCCATCTTGGGGCCTCTTGCGACCTCCTCAGAAGCGCAAATGAGCGCTGCCCCTTGAGAAAGACAAAATGAGCCCAAAACCTTCGTATAATCCATGATTTTGCGATGAAGGACGAGGAGCGCTGCCCCCTCAGAAGGCCAAAATGGGGCCGAAACCCTAGTAAAATCAATGTTTTTGGCTTCACAGAAGAGGAGAGGGTTTTTTGAGCGTCCCCCCGTCGGGGCCAGAATCCTCGTGAGGGTCGTAGTTTTTTAGCCCTCCCAGGAGTCGAAATTGACCCCCCTGGCGACCCGCGGAACTCCCTCTCCAGGCCCAGGGGGAGGGGGGAGGGGGAGGGGTAAACCCCTCCCCGAAGGGGAAGAAGGGGGGTTGAGGACAGAGGGGGCTCGCTAAACCACTCACGCCCAAAGGGCTGGTGAGATTTGAAGGCTTGAGGATAAACGACCGCTGACGTCTGGCACGGCACTTTTCGACGTCCGCGCTGGGCGCGGGGAGCGAGTCGATGCGGTCTCAATCCGCTTCGAGATGGCCAGGCTGGAAGCTGATTCAGCTGGTTGCACCATCCCAACATTCCAGATCTTGACGAACATCCTATTTCGGGCCGAACCAGTCGGCACCTCCAGGGCCCCACAGCTCCGACAGCCGCTCAGTCACACATTGCCCCGTAACCAAGATAACAATACGATGAACTATTTGAGCGCATGCGCAGCTATGGCCACTCCGCTGAAAGCGTTTCAGTAATGTTGTTGGCGTCTGCAACGGGCTCGGGACGTTCCAGCCGGTGCACGGACACCTGCAAATGACAACATTTGGTTGATCACAGAACCCGCAGAAGGTACAGCATTGATCGGCCAGGCAGCCGGCGTCGCACCATCATGCAAGTGGCGCCACCGGGTCACAGTTGCCACATGAGGCCTACGCTCCACCGTCAAACCCAGCAACAACCACTCTGTGGGGAGATGCTGGACAAGCCGCCACGCCCTTCGACTCTGGCGCCGGCTCCGACACCGCCTCACCATATGATACTGAAGATGCACTGTGGACAGACGTGCCCGCACGCTTCACTGACGAGCACGCTGCTGAATAGGTAGGTATTTCCGGGGTATCAAAATACTAGGCGCCTTTGGAGACGATCCGCTAAGAAAACCACCAGACGCGTTAGGCCGCGGCGCGAAGAGTTTCCACAACAGGGGAAAGAGGGTGGGCAAGGTTACGGGGCGGAGAAGATTGCGCGGTCGCGGTGTTCTCCCGTTCCGCGAAACTCTCGCCGACTGCATTTCGAAGAATTCCGCGACTTGGAATGGAGCAAGGGGCGCCGAAACCCTTTGGGGAAAAGGCGCCGGGCGAAGGATGGGCCCCTTGGACCGAAATGGGAACCGAATGAAGTGCAACATCTGCGGTGGAGGGCAATATCGAAAACGTCGATTGCTCCCCAGTTCGATTCATCAGCGGCGGCATCGTCGAACACTTGGTGCTTGATGGCGCCTTCGCCGCAGGGCCCGGGGGGGTCGAGCAGCGCGCCGACGACCTCTTTCGGCGAGTTGCACGGCTGCGCGGAGGAAGCCATTCCTCTCCAGGATTGGCAAGGCATCCCCATGTCTGCGCGCGGCAACGCGCTGGGGGATGGCAAAATCGCGTTCTTGGGCGACGACGAGAACACGGCTTTCACCTGCGACCCCGCGACGGTCCTGGCCACTAAGGGCGACCTAGTTACATTTCCACTTGCATGGGCGCGCGCCAAGCAACGAGATGACGGGCTACATGCCTGGCCGGGGGCCAGTTCCAACGGCCATCGGCTTCGCCGCGGAGGAGCTGGGAGCCGTCCGATGGGGCAGCCCCGTCGTTGCCACTTTCGCTGCTGGGGCGCAATGAACAGGCGCTTCTGTTGATCGCGCTATCAAGGTTCAGTGCAAAGACGAGTATTGCGACAGCCGGGGCCGAATGGATCGGCGATTACGCGCGCTTGCATCGATCCAGTGGTCGGAGCGAGCAGGACATCACGATTTCGCGCTCCGACAAGCACTTGGCTCGCGAAGGTGATGGCCACGCCATCCGCGGCGCCCGCTGCGGCCTCGCCGAGGACAGCGGCGCGCGGGGGCAGGCCGCGCTCGCTTCGATGGCGGGCTGGCAACGGTGACGAGTCTGCGGCCGCAAGCTCTTAGAACCACCGGCCCGCCGCCCGTTCGACGGGCCGCCGAGGCCGCCGCGCCGCGCGGCGACCCCGTGGGATCACGACCACTGCGACGGGCGCGGCGGCCCGGCTCAGTCTGGAGCTGGCCCGGCGCCCGTGGAGGGCGCGGGCACCTCTCGGGCCGGGCGAACGGGGGGGATTGGGAAAGGGGGGGTTAGGACATTTGCTGCATGCAGCTGGTTTCGGCCTCACCGAGGGGCCCATTCC